TTACCCCCACCGACGCAGCCCCAAACAGTTTCTTTAGAAACTATCAGCCTTTGTTCAGATCGAGGCTGGCCGTTATGCAGCACATTCGAAAGAAAGACATCCGTTTGGAAGGCTATCGAATAGCCTTAGCTGGTCTGGACCCGGAGACTCTCTCTTCTTTTCCTGAGTTTTTTTTCTAAGTGCGACTCAGTGATGAAGGGAATTACAAAAATAAACATACAATTACAATGCAATTGCCTATTGCCTATTGATATAGGAAACTGGATACGTAAATGAATGATTAATGTAAAGTTATTTTAGAATGATATGAGGTCGCCGTTGTAAAACACTGCTGCCGGTAGCAGGCTCACTGTTACAGCCCAACTTTCCCACTGAGGAGGACACTCGCAAGTTGATAGGTACAAAGCAAAGACAACAGCACTACTACAACAAACAAGCCAAACATTTAGACCCAATTAGCGTGGGATAAACAGTGTGAATGAAACTGCCTGGTGAGAAAACATGGAGTTCAGGAACATGCACGGCTACAGCTGGCCCAAGGAGCTACAGGGTACAGGTAGGACAGACGGTGTATAGGAGAAATCGACGGCAGCTAATCGACGCAGGGGAATCCAAAGATGTCCCAGAACTTATTATTCCGGATCAGTCAGCAGAAGCAAGCCCTGAGCCCGAGGCCACTGTCCCACCCGGAAACTGCCCTCGATCTGAAGTTCACGTTGGACCGAGGCGGTCGCAACGGGAAGTGAAGCCACCCCATTGGTTCAAAGACTTTGTCACTCCCTTATGTTTTTTTTTTTTGTTGTTGTTGTTGTTTCGTTTAACGTTTCTTACGAAAATGGGAAGATGTGACAAGTTGTGTGACTTTTTTATAATACTCTATTGTGATTCTGTCAATCAGCTTTGTATGCGTCATTGTCCAAGCATGTGCGAGGACCTTGTGTCATTCCAGGAGTAGCACGTAGTTCGGTCGTCCTGGCGCAGTGTGATTTTTAGTAAACCGTTTAAACCTTTATTTGCCGTTTCTTACAAAGGCCAGGCTTTTTCAATAATGGATGTACCACAACAGTTTTCCAGGTGTCAGAAAAATATCCAGTTCTTAGGAACAAATTAACCATATTAGTTATTACAGGAAGGAGTGGGTCAAGGCATGCAGATAACAGAGTCACAGGTATTGCATCCAAGATGCAAGATTTTCTCTTCCCTGATGTAATCATATCACGTATTGCTTCAACCGTTTGACATTGAAAATCAGACAATACAATAGCGCTAGGTTCAGATACCAGATCAGGCTCCGACGTCGACGGAAGATGCGATGGAGAGATACCATCCCACTTTGATCTAATATTAGCAATCTTGGTAATAAAAAAACTCGCCCATGTCATTTGCAAGCAGAGAAACGTCAGTATGAGGGGGGAGAGATCTATCCGGCTGCATATTCAGTAGACTCTTACTTGCCATAAACAGCCTCCGCTGGTCAGTACTATCATCTTTAATGAATAGATTGTAATAGACACGACGTGCCTCATTCATCAAGTTCACCACACGATTTCTTTCCTTTTTAAAAGCAGCAAGATGCTGCAGGTAGTCCAGTATTCTTCACTTCTTTTCAGCCTTTCGTCTCGACCGTTTAGCTTTTTTGATATCTTCGTTAAACCACGGTGCTCGAGGCCGAACAATAATATCACGGGACAAGACAGGTGCATAGATATCCAGTACAGATCTTAGTGTCTCATTAGAACAATTGACTAGGGTATCCAAGTCGTCCGGTAGGTCAAGACAGAGCTGAGAAGAGCAAATGGCTCGAAAAATTGGTCACGGTCAATTGATTTAATTTTTTTGAACTGTAAACGTTTTACAGCCACTGGAGGTCTTTCAGGTTTTAGTTGACAGAAGACTGGGAAATGGTCAGAAAAAAACTCACCAGTGTAGGGGCGCCCAGCCATGATGTTATCAGATATACGAGTGATGATCAAATCCAGTGTGTGAACAAATTCATGGGTAGGGTGTACAACATGTTGTTTAAGACCCATCGACACCAGAAGGTCAGACATGTTTCTACAGTCAGTGTCATCAGGTAGGTCCATATGAATGTTAAAATCGCCCAGTATCAACAAGGGCTCACTTGCCATGACCAAAGACTCGAGATAATCTGAGAATTCAGTGATAAATGTTGAAGTAGACACAGGATGTTTAACAGAATATGGAGGCCTATAGACTATAACAACCCGCAAACGAGTAGTAGCCGCAGGATTGACCAACCATTCCGACACCTCGAATGACCCTTTTCCTGCAACCGAAACTTTTCCAACGTTGATGGATTCTTTGAAAATCAATGCAGTCCCACCTCCTCTGCGATCACTGCGGGGACAATGAAGGAGTTTGTATCCCTGTGGTGTTATTTCACTAAGAATAGCTGTATCATTGTCTGTAAGCCAGGTTTCAGAAACAGCAAATAGATCAGCTTTGCTATCGCATACCAAATCCACAAACGGCGCTGACTTATTTCTCAAAGATCGAGCATTGAGAACGCAAAGCAACAATTGTTGCGTATCGTTCTTGATATTTTCCAATACTTGTTGATGCTTGGCCGCGATAATGTTGACCAAGTTACGCTGACACGGCGGTGCACGATTGCCAGCAGCATAAGCAAAGTCGCCGTTCTCGAGTGTCGATTTCCGATTACAGTTTGAATAACAGAGGGGCCAGGATTTAAACTTACATCACCACATTTGATCAGTCGAATCAGCTGAAAACTGGAAGTTGAATTGTGATGATAGTTCACTCTGGCGCCGAGGTAACTCATTCCACGAAGTCGACAACCAAGATAGCGGCCTAATCTCCTAGTGGAGTTTACATGTATATTGCTTGTTATAACTTCCAACGAAGACACTGAGCTGACAAAGCGAAGCGGTATACAAGAGAAGTAATATAGGCTATTTCCAGATAAATATTTCTCAGGGTAAAGACCAAATAAAAATGATAAAACTACGGAGCCAAGAAGAACTCGTCCGAGTGTCATGCTGACACTCACTAAATGTGTGATATAAGGGAAAATTGGTTGCGTAAACGGCCACCGAAATCGAGCCCTATTGGCCTGCAATTAACGTTTAATTACCGATCATGAAACTGGAAACTGGATAATTAAATGAATGATGAATTAAAGGTTATATTAGAATCATTATAGGATATGAGGCTTGGGGTTTGCCTGAGTTTAAAAAGCACTTATGTGAGTGACTATTTGATTAGACGATATACTTGATAAAGCACACACTGTTATCTAAAGGAGCTATTTTTAAACACGAAGGCGCGCTATATAAGGAAGTCTTCCCTGGGAAGACCTAGGCTCATTTGTCACTCACCGTTGACGTGTGCGGGTCAAATTTAAATGCTGGTAGACGAACAAAAGGAGCTAATAAGATATCTAATGTTTACTTCCACCAGCATGGTGGCATGAGGTAGCGTGCGAACCACCTACATCGATCTCAAATTTACCGCCACAAATAAAGACAGTTGCTATTGGAGAAAGGAAATACAAATCTCAAAAGTTCTTGTATTTTAATGAAGACATAAAACAATTTTGAGGAATTCACCCGCTGTTCACTGCTTTGGAGTAGCTGCAGCTCAAGCTGACTTGACTCTAAGAGATCTACATCACACGACGGTTGATTGACAAATGGTCCAGTGGGACCTAAGGCTCCTTTTATAGCGCGCCTTCGTGTTTAAGGGAGGATGTCTATTAGGTGAGGAAACTTCGATTTTTCGTTGTGAAATTCTATTTATGGCGTTTCAATTTTTTATTGCAGTGTAAAACGAGAATAACGTACCTACAACGAATACAGTGAATTCTTCTTTCTTTAGATTTTGTTTGTGAGTTACGATTTTCTCCTTGAAGTTTCCAATTGTCTTGTCCAAGAGGGCGAGAGCTTTTCCCTCCAACGTGTTCAAACCAACATCTGTGCGTTCGTAGAAATTAAGTAAGGTCGCTCGTTTGTTATCGTCTTCTTTCTTTGCTTCTGTCAACACTGAAAAGGCCTGACGAACGGCACAATGTAAAGCAAATCCTGTTCATTAATATTCGGCAGGGTAATTTAAAGATTACATTTTTAGCTAAATTGGTTAGTTTTAGCGTTTTACGGTCATTTTGAGAAATCTTTGCATTTTTTTTTTTATTCAACAAACAACTTCACGACAAACTTTAAATGAAAGCATGCTCAGTTGCTAAAACGCGTTATAATCAATCAAATATTTTTACTCGCTTGCTATTGGTCTAAACACACTGAAGACGTGACCGAATACACCCCTACTAAAACTGTGGATTATCCGAGATTTCAATCCAAGTGATACTCCCAGTTTTTCGCTTAAATTTAATTAAAGATGAGAAAGCGTTGTGGGGTTGCTACAGGAGAAGGAACATGATTTTTCTTCATAAAGTCGTATCAGAGAACACTAAAAAGTGGACATTGCACGCCGTAAACAATACGCAGTTCGTAAAAATTTTTCTCTTGCGTTCAGTATTTTGAACACCGTCAAAGTCCATAAAAAAATCTGCTCCATAACCTCGAGATACCTCGGATATTTTGACAGCGTACTCACAACATTGTCTGTCTTGTTTGTAAAGAACATCTGTATCTCCTTGCTTACGGCATCTCGCAACCTTTCAATATTATGAAGGAAGTCAGTGATCAACTTCATTCTCTCTGTCACGTTTTCGCAATCTTCGAAAGAATTACGCATGAACGCTTTCGTGCAGTAGGCGATACGTGTAAGGAAGTAGTCAAGCCACCTAAGAATAAAGCCATAATTGCAATTATCTTCCATTTTACCTCCATGCTCAGTCACGGTGGCTGTTTATGCATGCTGGTCTCTCAAGGAGGTTGTGTAATTTCAAATCTCAAATTAGGAACCACCCTCCTATTTCAAGTATCATCACAATGTCAATATCGACTGTTTCTTATTTTAAGACCGATACTCATGGTCTTAAAATAAGTGAGGAGAATTTGCTACCTTTCTATAATCAAACAATGGATAGATATTCTAGTCTTCTCGGATTAGGAGGAATAAACCATAGGCCCTGTCTCCTTCAGGGTTAGGAGTAGGAGACGTTAATTTCCCACGCACGAGATTACTGTGTAGTGGATGTCCTCCCCTGGGGTGGGATGGGTGGGAATTGGCCTTGAGAAGCCCCCAAAAGTAGTGGTTAAGTAACGTATGTATGTATTTATGTATGTATGTATGTATGTATGTTTGTTTTTAGGTATTTTTAACCGATTTTCGACTTACGATAACATGTAAGGTAAAGCGTAACGTTTCTGTATTCATGTTTTTAACAGAAATGAAAGTTTGAATTTTCTTAACTTAATGGTTAAAAACATAGGTATGCTACGCATGCAAAAGCTATTATTCTTGGATGGTTGGTTTAAAATGGGAAACTAAGTTAATGATGTTTGCATGTTTATAAAGAAAAGAGCATTTACTTTCAAAAGATGCCAATGAAAGTATCCGATAATGGAGAACAGGAAAAAGCCTTTCAATTTTATCTATGTCTACTCCTACACACGTATTTTATGGTATTGCCAGTGGTTAGAAAAATATAAATTGCTTTGGTGCCACGCTTCAATTCCTGAAGTGTCCTCCACAGCGCTTGCTTAGTCTCCTCACGCAACGGGCCCTCTCCTCCGATTGTGTAACGCGACCAAAAAGTAACGGCCTGCGCAGTCGCAGGTTAAGAATATTTTTACTTAAGTTCCTTCGTCAGAAACAGAATCAAAGTCATCTTCTTGCAGCAGTTTCCTCAAAAATATTCTTCCGCACAAATTTCCTTTGAAGGCAAACCGATACGCTCTTTCATTTCCAGTAGCTTCTTACCGCAGATATTTTGCGGTCGTCGTTCTCCGAGCGAGTGAAAATATTGAACGATCAGAAAAGTATCATATTTTCAAAGTGCTGGATGTGGCCTCTTCATTTGATTGTTGCCAGCCTGGACTTTATATGTGGAATATGTGATAAAATGTTAGTTGTTTACAAGGAATTGGCACGTGATGGGGTAAACTCCAAGCTAATGTGTGGCTGAAGCGAATTTGTTGCATAGAAAATGTAATTGCGTAGAAAATTGACTAACAGTACCATTTACCTCCAAGTGAATTTTCTTCAGTGCGGGAGGATTACTTCGTAAAACTTGGGTTGTTTACTGGAAAATGGCATTCGACTGAGAAAGTCTAATCAATAATGATATGTATCCACGTATAGTTGCTGTATCGAGAAAATACCGTTTTTAAACATCATGTAGTTCATAGAAAAGTCTTAAAACCAAAGAAACTGACATTTAACATGGCAGTCGACGCAGAAAGTAAAAATAACTTGCTGATCTTTTCAATCTTCACCAAGAGAGCAATCACAAATGCAAGGCAAAAACAATGTGCTTTATGCAAATGCTTTGTGCAATTATTACCTGAGTCAGCAAATTCGAAACTAGCCTCTCCTAAACAAACGCTCTCGTGTTAGGCCTTTAGCTGACGGTTATCTCACTCTTGTTGTACATTAATGTTGGTTTAATTCCATCGCAACAAACTGCAGTACCCTAATTTTATGACATGATTGGCATGAAGGAAAATATCTCTACAACCGGTGAAACGTTTCTAATCTTTGTGGCCGACTTGTTTTTTAGTACCAAGTAAATTAAAAAAAAATTCTAGCAAAATTTGTTCGCTTGTTCAATTTGTTCCTGACGCTTTTCGAGTGCAGTCGGAATAAGCACGCTTATTTTCTATCTATTTTTTTCATTGAAAAAGAAAACTATATGTTAGCTTATCGAGTGGTATGTGTTTCACACCAATTGCCGCATTAGGGCATTATCTCGCACCAATCAAATAGTGACATTATGTACTGTCTCGCGCCAATCAAATCACCGAATTGTGGCATGTTTGCACCAATCAGGGCATGTCCATCGTGTCATGAAATTAGTGTGTCGCAAAATGTTGCAATGCAACTAGCCCAACATTGGCGTTCACCAAAAACGAAATCAACAAATAATTTTGAGCTCATCTATCCAGTGTAAAGGTTCATGTCCTTACTGATGACTTCGTCGCCTTGATCTGCCAGGGTTAGAAAGGTCGGAAGGTAATTGTTCTACAAAAGCGTGTTTTGTATACCACTCCTTCATTTGCAACGCACACGCCGTCAACAAAAGGTGTTTAGTCTAAAACTAGGATGTGACTTTTTTCTCTTGTTTTTGTATTGTTGTCGTTGTTTAGGTCTCTTTGCCTTTGCGGACACCTTGTGTTCTCTTACATAGTTCAACACTTCCTCATATGACCAAAAAGCCAGAGTTTCTCGCTCGTCTGTTTGAATTGTGTAATGATTGTTTTTGTAAGCGTCTTCTTCAACTTCGTATGGCACAGAATGTAAGTAAAGTTTTGTCTTAAGTTTTCTTTTAGTTTTCCTTTATATCTATTTTGTCATTTGATATTTTTTTGTTTAATTTTCACCGTTTTGTGGCCTTTCGACTTGAACCACTTTCGTGATTTGCAAGTGGATGAAATGTAATTTTCAACTGAAACGCGTCATTTTTACTGTGCCTACCAAACGAACGATCTAGCTCCAAGTTATAACAGTAGTGTTTGTTTTGGAAGGGCTAGTTTTGGTGACTCTGGTAAAGGTTGCACAAAGTATTTGCATAAAGCATATTTAATCGATAAAGCTGTTTTTGCCTTGAGGTTGCTCTTTTGGCGAGGGTCGAGAAGATCATCAAGTTATATTTACTTTCGATGTCGACTACAATGTCAATATCCGTTTCTCTGCTTTCAGAAGTTCTCCATCCACGAATTATATTCTTTTTTAACAGTAATTTCCCTTAAAAATTACGTTTTTATTTGTCATTATTAATTATGCTTTCCCCAATAGAATAACATTCACCAGTAGACAGCCTTAAATAATTCTCCGACATATTCTTAATCCTCTAAAAAAACTCAGATAAAGCTTAGTGCTATTGCTGATAAATTTTCCACGCAACTCTCAAGTACTTTGACGTTTTCTGACAGTCAATTTCGCTTTATGCTCTTGGACTTTACCCCACCACGTGTCATTTTCTGCATTTAGTCACGTATTCCACACGCAGGGGGAAAAAAGTTACTCAAAGTGTCCCAACTCAACCCACCCATCCGAGAAAAAAAAAAACACCTTGTATGCGTAGCATGCCTATCTTTAAAACTAATAACTAAGACATTTTAATCAGAACCGAATCATATTCATCAACAGTTATTTTTTTTGTTAAGGATGTAAAGCAAGTTACCTCCACTGAATTTGTAGTCTTCGCTCAACACTTTTCAACACCATGGACTTGATACCATTCATGAGTTCACCAAACTCTTCCGTGATCACTCCAAACTTCTGGGCTTCACTAGCATGTTTTGCTGACATATGAATAATCTGAGATTCTGGATCTAAACTAGGCCAGCACTGCGCCAGTTTCCTCACGGTGTGGTTCTTCACTTCATCAATCATTTTTGAAGGTATGCAGTCCCACTTGTTGCAAACGAACAGAGCACAATTGGAAGAAGATTCCCTTTGTTTGTCAAGGGACACCTGTCTAGCGTGCTTAATGAGTTTTTCCACCTGGAGGCAAAAGTACAGAATAAGCTATAATTTTTAGAACATTTTGTGGCACGCAATTTCTGCGCAGTAGCTAATCATGCTCGTTAAGTTCCATGTGCTTCCGTTGCCATTTTGTATGAAGCTTTTGAAACTCAAAGACACCCTTACCTTGTTTCTGTCTTGTTGTTCATCATCAAAATTTTGTTGCTTTTGAAATCTTCTTTTTCTCAACGAGATCCCAGCGAAACCTCATTATTGTTCTCTAAACCAAACGGTACGGACAAAAGATCTGTCCCAAATGTTTGGGAGAAAAAACCCCTAATCATGTGCCAAACGTCCCCGTCTCAAGGTCCTACCACTACTTACCACTACGCTGCTGGTGTGGACAATAAAACTTCTTGAAAACTGGGAAATTAATATATATTATTTTCTTTTGGTCCATCTTCTTTGTCTCTTTTAAACGATTAATTTATTTTTAGATGTACGCCAATAGCAGATGTGAAAAATAAAAGGTCTTGGCAACAAACTTCGTTCTCTTCATATACATATATACATATCCATATAGGTTAGTTTACCACTTCGCATGGAGGCTTTTCACGGCCAATTACCACCCATCCCACCCCAGGGGAGGACATCCACCACACAGTAATCTCGTGGGTGGGAAATAAACGTCTCCTACCCCTAACCCTACAGGAGACGGGGCCTACGGTTTATCCGTCCTTATCCGAGAAGACTAGTATCTATCTATCTCTTGATTATAGAAAGGTAGCAAATTCTCCTCTCTTATTTTAAGACCATGAGTATCGGTCCGGCCGGGGCTCGAACCCTTGACCTCCAGCACAACACAATCCGGCGCTCTAACCAATTGAGCTAACCGGGCGTCTTCAACTATCTATGTAGTTGGACTGCTCTTAGAACGACAAATTCATGGACTTACCCTGTCTTTCTGTAATCCACCGGCGTTTGCACTGTTGATGACAAAGATAAAAGCGGAAGCCTCTGGGAGGTATGCTTTTACTGTGTCATCCATGATGGCAGATTCACCGAAACCTGGGCTCTCAACTAGGACAATATTTTCCTAAAAGATACGTTAAAGACGATATGGAACAACACAAGATACACAAACATTGGTCTTTAAGTATCGCCCTTTAGAGTGCATTTCGATTGATTCTCCGAGAAAAAAACTTCATATCGTATTGAGGCATCAACAATTAACCAAGCACATCTTAAATCAGTGCTTGCGACGGGAAAAAAAAACCAAGAAAACCAAATAACAGCAAGCGCAAGTGGTCACTGTGCAAGATGGAAGCTGAATAACGAACTGAGGACTGTTAGGCCTTTGAACATTCAAAACATCCTTACCATCCCTAATATTAATCTCAGCTAGTCAGGGGGCTCGTAAACAATCACTTGTAATTGATATCATGGAAACAGACATTCATGCATAGTAAAGCGAAAATTTTCAAGCTTGGTGAAAAATAATCAATTCCTCACCTTAGGTCGATCTCAGAGTCTATTACGTGAAGAGATTACTGAGCTTATTTATTTCTTATGATTACCTTCAACAGATTGTGTGGCCAAAAAAGCTCAATCTTTTCGTAATCTGAACCCCTCTCTCTGTTCTCCTTCAGATGGACAAAAGATGAAATCTGTTGAAGGTAACTCAGCTCGGAGGCTTCAGATGGCTTGTTTAGTTGAACAGTCCTCGTGGTATTCCCAGATTCTTTGTTTTTATAGTGCGCTACCAACTTTGGCGCATCTCCATATCTCAGTTCAACGATGGTGGTGGATGTGGTTCTAAGAACGGCGCAAGGAAGAAGTTGCTCCCCAAGGATCAGATTCAAGAGGGTGCTTTTTCCTCAACTTATTTCGCCTGGTAATTGTAAATAAGTATAAATTAAGGGGAACTCAAAAAAACAACGGCAGAAATGAGTCGATTCCACTAAAGCTGGTTTAGTTAGTTTCTAGGGCTTGATCATTTTTTCTGAATTAATACAAGGCCGGTAGCCTAATGAATAGCTGTGTTTGTGTTTCCTACACTCTAGTCATGGTATTTAGTCTAGTGGATGAGGAGGCTATGTAAAATAATACATTTATAACCAACCTGAAACGAGCACAATGTACTCTTTCTTTTGTAGAACTTGTTTGTGTGAAACGATTTTCTCCCACAGGTTTCCAATATTTTTCTCCAAAAGGGCAAGAACATTTTCGTACTTCGCATCCAAACAAGCGCTCGTGCGTTCGTAGAATTGGAGCAAGGTTGCTCGTTTTTCCTCGTCTTCTTTCTTTGCCTCTGTCAACACTGAAAATGCCTGATAAACAACACATGGTAAATCGAAGTCTGTCCATCAAAATTTTCCTACGTAAGTTAAAGATTATTGCTCAGCCTAGTTGTTAGTGTTGCTGTTTTAAAGTCATTTAATTTTTAGAAATCCCTGATAAATTATACGATTATACAAATAACTTTGACTAAAGACTTGGAATAAAAGCATGCCCTGTTGCTAATAAGTAACAACCATTTTTATTTAGGGAAGAGCTTTATAAGGCTGGTTTAAGCTCGTAAACGTCCGCAATGCAACCCTCGATAGGATAGTATTTCCATTAAGTAATTCTATAAATGTTCAGTGATGTAAAGATGCATGTAGTAAGATCCTCCCGAGAGATGTATCCTAAGCAAGGGACTCCAACTATTTGTTGACAATTATGAACAGCAGAATTAATTTGTGGCTTTCTTTTACAATAAAAAAGCATTACTTTACTCCGGGCGTTAACTCTGTTGACATTTATTTTAAAGAAATTAGGCAGGCTTTTCTCGGAAAATGTGGAAGTGTAAACCTGATAAGAGAGCCAACGTTTTCCCAAATGACCGAACTTTATCCAAAGAGCACAGAATTGGCCCACAATAGGCAGAACTGGGGCAGGACTAGCCAAAGTTTACCAATCCTCAATGTTCTAAGGGCTGTATTTCTCTATTTGAACCGTCGAAGCTCGATCGTTACTTAACCAAGCTTCCCAAATTAGGAACATCAATATGCATGATTACCTTTCACTGCGGAAAGACAACTTTGTAATTTCTTATTTCAAATTATTTTTCTAACACTCAGTCGTAAGTGTCGTTTATGAAAGTATCAACAAATAACAATTGGTCCCGCAGTAAGCTCTACGCGTACGTGTTGTTAAGTTTGAACTTAAAGAAACATCTGACGAGTGAATGCTACAATTTCTGTCCATGAGAATTAAGTTTCTTCTGGTACTACTCATTTCTGAGATGCCATTACT